AGAACCGAGTGCCCTGCCTACCCCCACACACAACTGATGTCACTGACATAGCTTTTAGCTAGCGCATCTCTATTGCGCCGTGCTAGCTTAGCGCCTCGTCAGTGACATCAGTTGTGTGTGGGGGTAGGCAGGGCACTCGGTTCTGTTGACAGGGCGGGGTGCCCTGCTTATATAGTGGTAGGGGAAACACTGTAAATATAAAGATTGAGCTCTCTTTACATTGTGCGTGTATAAAGCATTTTAGTTTCAGTGAAACTTTGCAAGATTTTCAGATTTTTTTTTAATAACTATACTGTACCTCCCAAAATGTTTGTGACATCAAATCACTATCTTTTTCAAACTGCATTTTATCTTAGTAGTTCTTTTCACTTAATATTTTCATCACTATCCTTACAGTTTTGAATAACATCATGATAGCATTTAATAGTATTTTCAGCATTCTGAAGTAGTATTTTAGAGTTGTTTTTTTACATGACCATGGGAGTCTTGATTTGACTGTTTAAGTGATTAAAAAAATTCTCAGACCAAGGTAGGATTAATGTCTTCAAAAGAAAAGTGTGAAGAGTGACTGATGCTATGACCAATTTAATTTTCCCCAGTTGTGAGAGCATCCACAACTGACTTTTCTCTCCCTCCCCCACTCCCACACACTCCTGTTTAGTGTGAAACTAATAACATAAGAGTTAACATCAGTGCTTGCTATTCATTCATTATTGAATCAATATTTGACGTCTGCTTGCAATGTAGGCAATTCCGCTGCGGCAAGAAATCATACAGTCGAGCATCTATTAAATCTGCCATAATGCCGTGTGACACAGGATGTGTGACTCGAGTTTTTTATAATATTAAGCTCCCATCAACAGTGGGACATGTAAAGGGTCTTTACAACTTCTGAAATTGCATGTTACAGCCTTTAAAAAAATCCTGTCTCAACTCTAGTAGTTACAAATGTAAGGGTAAGCGATTTATCAAATTTAAGAGCCTAAGATGAGCAGCTCTGATGGACTTTCAGCAATGTTAGCTTCTACCTAACTATACTTTTTTTTCTGTTTTATTTTATTTCGAGCTACTGCTATCTTCTTTGAGTCTGTAAGCTAGAGTTGACAAATGTGCTAACAACAATCAGGCAGCTCTGGCTCCTGGTTAAAAACACAATGCCCTCTATTTCCTGCAGTGTAAAACCATGTGCTCATTTTTCTTACTCAGAACTTTTGTGCTGAAGAATCGACTAAGCAAGAGGTTTTGTCATTGTGCTGTAAAAAATACTAAAGCAGTCCGTGTGTATTATTGTAACTACACAGTTTTCAGCTATCTGTTTTTTTGGAGTTGTGTCACATGCTGAATGACAGCACAGTAAAGATGAACTTTAGTGCTGATTAAACCTAAAATAAACGATTACATTACTTGATGAAATATTTAGAGGCACTTGTGTTTTAGTTCTGCACATACAGACCCTTTCCAAAAAATTAGAATATCATAGAAAAGTAGTTTAACTTCCATAATTCCATTCAAAAAGTTGATCTTTAATAGATGCTAGCTTCAGGGCCCACAATTTAAACAATTTCAAGTATTTATTTGTTTATTTTTACATAATTTGGGCTTCCAGCTCATGAAACCCATGAAAACAGGATTTCAAAAAATTGGAATAATGTGGCGAAATCAGCCCAAATGTTGCAGGGCATGAATGTTTTAAACTGAGTGTGACACACTAATCATCTACTAAACTCAAAGCACCTGCACAGATTTCCCCAGGTGTCATTAAATTGCTTCAGTTTGGTTCAGTTGTCTCAGTTCCGTTCAATATAGGGAAGACTGCAGACATAACTGGCCAGAAGATCATCACTGATACCCTCCATAGCATGGGTAAGCCACAAAAGTCAATAACTAAGGAGGCTGGCTGTTCACAGAGTGCTGTGTCCAAGCACATAAATGGAAAGTCTAGTGGAAGGGCAAAATGTGGCAGGAGAAGATGCACTAGCAAAAGAGATGACCGTGGGCTTCAGCGGATTATCAAACAGAGAAGATTCCAGAATCTGGCAGAGATCTAGAAAGAGTAGAATGAGGTGGGAGTCACATCTTCAAAAACCACCACATTCAGATGCATCCGGGAGATGGGCTACAACTGTCGGGTTCCTCAGTCCTCTTTTCTGATGAAAGTAAAGTGTGCCTTTCATTCGGAAATCAAGGTCCAGTGTGATTTTTTTTTTCATTCAACCTTTATTTAAACAGATAAGTCACATTGAGCCTCGAAGACTCATTTACAAGTGAGACCTGTTTGGACAGACAATAAAAAGTGGATAAAAATGACACATAAGGTTTGGAGACAAAAAAAATTCCTAACATGCTTATAACCTCTGTTTGAATCTCCTACACTAGCACATAATGACACCGACGATACATGGGTGGGGGGGGGGGGTACTAAGGACAACCAGAGACGAATCCAGAGTCCTGAAATGATGACAGAATGTTTATTCAGCTGGGCCCCTCTGAAAAGTCCATGGAAATTCCTCAGTAAGTGGGGAGGGAGGGGCTGAGCATCATACTTAAAAAACTTCCAGGCGAGTTGAGATAAGATGGCCGGTCAAGGCCAGTCAAGGAGCCAAATTCAGATAAACACAATTGTTTTGGGGACAGGCAGAACTTTAATGACATCTACCTTGAGTCTGTGTTGGTCCACTCAGATTCGAAACGTCCAAATTAAATGACCATACCAATGGAACGTGCCTGATAATAATCCGCGAGATCTGATCCATTCTGCCAAGAGTCTGGGTGCTCGAGGCACGAACCAAGCTATCATATAAGGCAGGCAGCCTGACCAGGACCAGATCTGCTGCCGACGACTTCCTTGTTTGCTGACAAACCAGGAACCAGTCAAATCCTTAAAGCAGGAACCAGTTACCATAAATCCAATTATAAATGGATCTTTAAAATCCACAGATGACAGCAGAGATAGACACGTCATCAAGTCTTCAAAGTCAATGAGATGCCCAGCTGTGTGCGTGCCAACAGGGCAAATCGGCTCGCCTAAAGCCTGTCTTCTCTTCGAAGAAATGTTATCAATTGTGTTGAGGGACCAACTGACCAATTCCAAGTCCATAGTTATGATTTTGAAGATTTGTAAAGGAGAGGCTCTAAAGCAGTTTCACAGACAGACAGAGCAAAAGCAAACCAGAAAAGGAGAGGAGGAGACATCCGCCCTTGAGAAGAGCAAGTGTTGAAAAATATTCACAGTCAGTCATGATTTGGGGTGCAATGGCCGGTGCAGGTGTTGGTAAACTCTGCTTTCCTATATCCAAGGTCACCACAACAGTCTACCAGAATGTTTTAGAGGACTTCATGATTCCTTCTGCTGAGGATCTGTGTGGAGATGCAGATTTCATCTTCCAGCAGGACCTGGCCCCTGCCCATGCCGCCAGAAGAACCAAAACCTGGTTTGATGCCCATGCCACAGTGCTTGACTGGCCAGCCAACTCGCCGGACCTAAACCCCGTTGAGAATCTATGGGGTATTCTCAAGAGAAAAATGAGGGGCATCAGACCCAACAACAAATAAGAGCTGACAGCAAGCATCAAGGAAATCTGAGCTTCCATAACTCCCAGTCAATGCCACAGGCTGATTGCCTCAATGCCATGTCGCATCGAGGCAGTGATTAAGGCAAAGGGATTCCCAACCAAGTACTGAAGATTGACATATCATTTTGAAAGTACCATATTTTGATTGATTTGTTGTGATCCTAATTTCTTTCTTCTTTTTTCTGCAAAAACTGAGTAGTGTGGGCTGATGTCTTCACAGTATTCTAATTTTTTGAAATCCTGTTTTCATGGGTTTCGTGAGCTGTAAGCCCAAATTATGTAAAATAAACAAATAAATACTTGAAATTGTTTAAATTGTGGGCCCTGAATCTATCATCTAATAAATATTAACTTTTTGAATGGAATTATGGAAGTTAAACAACTTTTCCATGATATTCTAATTTGTTGGATAGGGTCTGTAAATACAAGTGAATGATTATTCAAAATAAAAGTAACTGTGAAAAGTCATTTTCTGAGAATGTCAAAACTTATGAGGAAGTATGGATGAACATGTTCATGTACAGTATGATGCTACAATTACAAGCTCACCTCATAGTGCTGAAAGCCAGGGTCCCATAGAGTGCAGTGTGCAGCAGATTATAGGCCACATCAGGACGAAAAGCCTCCACTCGTAACTCTGCAGCTCCTCTCTTCTCCTCTCCCAGACCTCCTTTAGGCCTGCAGAAGAGGAGAGGAAAAGGATAGTGAGACCAAAAAAGAAATGCATAAAACTTTACAGCTAGAAGCTTATAAGAGGCAGGAGGGTAGTAGGTGGGTGGAATTGATATGATTCAGATTATTAAGATTTCAGTAGCTCTTATTCAGATTTCATTAGCAGCTTGCACACAAGTGGACATGTAATGATGTACACCCACAACCATTTTTGTCTGCAGGAGTCAGCACACAGACAAAAAGAGAAAGACGATTATGTTACTCCCACGTTTTGGCCTCCTGCACCGAATCAGACGGACACTGGCTTCTGCTTGAATATAAATCAAATCCTGCTCTTCCTACTACGTGAGGTTGGGTATACTGGATTAAATTAATTCCTGAATTGGCAAAGAGCCCTTTGTTCTATGAGGTTAGTATTCCAGCCGTCCAGCAGCAGAGGGTGAGTTGAAATGCTAATGTGATTAGTTCAATATGGCCCCTCACCTTGCACCACAGGCAAATGAAGCTTGAGAGGCAGCTGGAAGATTATTCTGTTTTTCAAAGCATGAAACAAAATTACAGAGTAGAAACAAAAGAGATAGTGAAAACCAGTTTGGGTTTTAGCTTCCTGGTAAACATCGTGACCTCATCTTCAAAACTAAAAATTCCATTATTTTTTTGCAGGGCCTCTGACCCTTCAATTATCCACACTTGACTAACTTCTCTGGCCATTTATCCATTATACCAGCTTTACCTTAACACAAAGAGACAAGCATTCATGCACCAACAACCATGACCAATTTAGAAACAACAATTAACCTAACACAACTCTGGACAGTGGTAGGAAGCCTAAGTACCAAAAGACAAGGTGACAGTCTTAATCCCTGCAGCACTGAACAGTTCCCTTAACAACTTTCTAAAAGTACACACAGAAACCTGTACATTTGCAAATATTTTTAGGATAGGAGTTTTGGGTTCGACTCCCGGTCTGAGGTTCTTCTGTGTGGAGATTACATGTTTTTCTCCCAGTGCATGTCTGAGTTTTCGATGAGTACTTCAGTTTTCTCCACAGTGCATACAGATGCATGTGTGGTTAACTGGAGGCTCTAAATTGGCCCTATAGGTGTCTGTGTGTGAATGATTGCTCATTTGTGTGTGCAGGGTGTACCTGGCCTCTTTACAATTACCACTGGAGATAAACACCAGCTTCTCATGACCCTGAAACCAAGTTAACATTATGGATGGATGGATGGATGGAAGCTTGTTTATTCAAGTTGTACAAGTTTGTCCTTGTGTAAATTTTCTGAAATAAATAGCAATATATGTGGCACATTGGAAAAAGCAAACAAACAAATCCAGAGGCAAATGTATTAGCTTTCCATATCTTTAAAGAAACAACCCTATAAGCAATGGAAATAGTAAGAGGGTGGTGTACTGTGTTGTACTGCATTTTATAATCACTACTCTTTAAATGGTTGGGTTAGTTTCTTATTCTGACAGAATTTCAGAGCTCAGCCCAAAGAGCAGGGCAGAAAAAACGTCCAGTTGACAAATTTTAATGAAACTCAGAAAGTAATCATTAAATGGACATTTATAACTAATTACTTTCAGAGCTAACTCAGTTCAAGATGGCTGCCTCAGCGATCTAAACACAAACATTGCTTTACCTCATCAGAAGTTGAGCTAAATCTTAGTGTTGTAAGAGCTGGGAGTCAAATTTGATTAAATAATGTAGACACTAAAGAGGTGAACTGCATTGACAACATTTATTGACAGTATTAACTCTTAGAGGCAGAAGGTAACTTGTTTTGAATAGTTTCATTCAAATGTGTTACTACTGATCTCTGATTACCAATAACTTGTTTTTCTGATGCAATTTTCCACAGACAAAGACACAAATGTCCTTATTGTTGGTCCTATTTAAACACTACATACCTCAGGTTCTGCAGTACTGCCACTGTTAGCATGCTGTTCAGCAGCAGCAGAGTCAGTGTATATGGGTATAACAGCAATGTGCCAGCCAGACGCTCCAGTGTGTCCAGGGGCAGCAGACCAAAAGCCTCCTCACACAAATACAGACCAGCATCAAAATCCCTGAACAGACGGGACATGAAGGGTGGAAAGGGATGAGTTGGAAACATGAAGATAAAGAAATAAGCTTTAAACTATGTCTGTATTTAGTTTTTGTTCTCAAGGAATAAAAAGAGCTGCTACAATCAATACTTCCAATATAAACAGATTTTGAAAATAGTTGTGTACTTAATAAACCAATTTGGAAGTTTAAAATGTAAAATATGCTTTAATTACCTTAGAGTTTATAAATTATATGTCAACCAATAAAAGTAGCAGAAAACAAATAGTTGCAAAAGGAGAGAAAAAATGTTGGATCATTTATATTTTTTCTTCTACTTGTATGTAGTTGGACCAGAGAGGTAAAAGGTCCAGGAGGCCAGACATACACTCCTCTCAACACTCTCCTCCTGGGAGATTTCAAGGAGTCCATACGCAGAGAGGGTATATACTCCCTCTACCCAGTTCTGGGTCTTCCCCAGTATCTCCTACCAGTGAAACATGCTGAGAAACCTCCAATGGGAGACATCCAGGAGGCATCGTAACAACATATTTAAACCACAGAGCAGCAGCAATCTGCACTGACACCCCCCCCCCCCCCCAAACACACACACACTCTTTGTGGAGGAATTTATTTATTTTTACAATGTTGCTTCTTTTCATTGGAGTTTGAAAAATGTATTTACAGCTCTTGTAAGGTTTCACAACAACATGATTTGGACTAATGTAACACCTCAGTTCTTCTATTTTTCACACCGTTACAGATTTGCAGCTGTGACTGGGATATCATTTCCCTGCTGCATGACCCAGGTTTGGGCCAAGCTTCAGCTTAAAACAAACGACCTCACATCTGAAACTATAAATAATACTTTGATAAACAAAGACGTTGTTGGTTGACTCACTGACGGTGCCCAGATCCCTGGCAGTAAAACAAGCCTACATCATCATCCCTCCTGCATCATGCTGACAGGTAGTATGAGGTGTTTGCGCCAATTTGCTGTGTTTGGTTTATGCCAAATATGTCACTGAGTATTGTATCCAAACATCTCCACTTTGGTTTTATGTGTTGAAAAGACATACTTCCAAATGTCTTATGGTTTGACAGGTGCATCTTTGCAAACTCAAGATAGTAATCACACACTCACCTTATTTATTCTATGTAAAACCCATATGACAATATATTTTTATCCTAATAAGCACACTTAAAAAGTTATAAAATGTGTTTACTGTTTACTTTGACTATTATGCAAATATGTTCTTTTTTATGTGAAGAACACTTTGCACAGTGTACCAACAATATAGTTACGACGAACAGCTGTGTGCATAAATACCTCAACTGAGAGTTCAGCTAACACAAATGTAATGTGGGACTCGGGGAAAACAAGGAAACACTCGAGTAGAAACAAGTCAAAGCGAGTGAAAGCAACAGGGTGAGGCAGCGATGGAGCGCACAGCACAGTAAGCTCTGCACTTTCCACAATCTCCTAAATAATTGAAGGAGCAGTTGTACAGCATCGCACTGGGAGCTGTGTTATCTGCCGCCCCGGAGCAACCATCCTGTGGCTGAGTTGTTCAACACACCAGCACACACACACACACACACTGATCGATAGGAAGTCTAGTGGAGTTCCCCTGTTATCTATTATTCACACGCATTAACACTGCACGCTGAGGTGCTGAGTGAATAATGTAGTCACTGAATCAAGTAACAATTTTGTACATATGCACAGCGTTTTTACAAAGATTATGCTTTTTGTGCATCTACAACAAAATCTGGTTTGATAAGACATGGACTGGCTCAACGAATACAATCATTTCAACTTTCTTTTGTGTGTTTGTGTGTCTGTACCTGGTCGGTCCCAAACCAAACTTTGACTTGATGAATTTAAAAATATGTTCATCTGATCTGAGCTGAAGTGCTTTCTGTAAACAGACACAGAAGAGGTCATCTCATCAGGGCTACAATTGGTTTCAAAAGTACAAACAAGTAAACAAGGCAAGTTGGCGTCATACAGTACATGTTAAATAATGCATTTTAAGTTTTAGGCTCATGAACAAGAGACAGAGAGGGAGGAGAGATGCAGTGAAAGTCTGGGGGCTGGATAAAGTAGTGAGAAAGAAATGGGTGAAAGGACTCATGAGTTTAGAGTAAAAGACACTGAACAAAAGTGTCACATTCAGAACATTATATGCCCGTCGACAAATTATTAAAGCAGTATAGCAATCTAAAGAACTGACCCAGACAACCAATGACCTTGTTTCAACTTTGACTCTGATTTGTGACCTTGATCTTGGAGCTGGGTGATGAAAAGTGTATGACAATCTGTCTTGTGAGGATGCAGTTGTGTGTCCAGTTTATGTACATACAGAGACAATACTATGATATACTATAGCTGCTATCAATCATGGATAATGCTGAACAGTGAACATCCTCTGCACGGCACCATCATGAAGCAGAGGAGCTCCTTCAGTAGTAGACTGCTGTCCAAGCCCTGCTCCATGGACAGAATCAGGAAGTCCTTTGTCCCTCAAGTCATCAGACTGTTCAACTCCTCTCCGTACAGTAAAAATAGAGCCTTGTAAATCTGTAGTACCCTGGACACACATGTATATACATGTACATATGCATATACTGTACATGTACCTGAATATGTATAGCTATGTATGCTTAGATGTGCATGTATGTATACATATATATACATTAATCATGACATTGTGCATGTCTTTTTCCATCCATCCATTCTCTTCCACTTATCCGGGTCGGGTCACGGGGGTAGCAGCTTAAGTAGAGAGGCCAAGACTTCCCTCTCCCCAGCCACTTGGGCCAGCTCCTCCAGGGAAATCCTAAGGCGTTCCCAGGCCAACCGAGAAACATAGTCCCTCCAGCGTGTCCTGGGTCTTCCTCTGGGTCTTCTCCTGGTGGGAGGTGCCCGGAACACCTCACCAGGGAGGCGTTCAGGAGGCATTCTAACCAGATGCCCGAGCCACCTCAACTGGCTCCTCTCGATGTGGAGAAACAGCGGCTCTACTCTGAGTCTCTCCCGGATGATCGAGCTTCTCACCCTATCTCTAAGGGAGAGCCCAGACACCCTGCGGATAAAACTCATTTTGGCTGCTTGTATCCGTGATCTCGTTCTTTGGGTCACAACCCAAAGCTCATGACCATAGATGAGGGTAGGAACGTAGATCGACCAGTAAATTGAGCGCTTCGCCTTTTGACTCTGCTCTCTCTTCACCACGACAGACCAATACAGCGCCCGCTTCACTGCTGACGCTGCACCTATCCGCCTATCGATCTCACGCTCCATTTATCCCTCATTCGTGAAAAAGACCCCGAGATACTTAAATTCCTCCACTTGGGGCAGGACCTCCTCCCCGACCCGGAGAGGGCACTCTACCCTTTTTCGGCTCAAGACCATGGCCTCAGATTTGGAGGAACTGATCTTCATCCCGGCCGCGTCACACTCGGCTGCAAACTGCTCCAGCAAAAGCTGTAGATCACGATCTGATGAAGCCAATAAGACCACATCATCTGCAAAAAACAGAGAAGCAATCCTAAGGCCACCAAAACGGAACCCCTCAACACCTTGGCTGCGCCTAGAAATTCTGTCCATAAAAATTATGAACAGAATCAGTGACAAAGGGCAACCTTGGCAGAGTCCAACTCTCACCAGGACTGAGTCGACTTACTGCCAGCAATGCGGATCGAGCTCGACACCGGTCGTACAGGGACCTAACAGCCCATATCAAAGGGCCTGGTACCCCATACTCCCGGAGTACCCCGCACAGGGCTCCCCGAGGGACGCGTTCAAATGCCTTCTCCGAGTCCACAAAGCACATGTAGACTGGTTGGGCAAACTCCCACGCACCCTCTAGGACCCTGCTGAGGGTTTAGAGCTGGTCCTGTGTTCCATGACCAGGATGAAAACCGCACTGCTCCTCCTGAATCCGAGGTACGACTATCTGACGGACCCTCCTCTCCAGAACCCCTGAATTGACCTTACCAGGGAGGCTTAAGAGTGTGATCCCCCTGTAGTTGGAACACACTCTACAGTCCCCCTTTTTGAATAGGGGGACCACCACCCCAGTTTGCCAATCCAGGGGAACTGCCCCCGATGTCCACGCAATATTGCAGAGTCGTGTAAGCCAACACAACCCCACAACATCCAGAGCCTTAAGGAACTCCGAGCGAATCTCATCCACCTCTGGAGCCCTGTCTTTGTTCAAATGTGTGTATGCTGCTTCTTTTTTGATCATGTTTTTTTTTTGTTTGTTTTGTTTTAGTTTTTTTCTGCATAATTAGAACATGCTACTGGATGCCTCTAATATGTCCTCTGGGATTATTAAAGTATCTCTCTATACCTTTAGGAATTTTTTGGATAAGGTTTTATGGAGTTTTTTTATTTTATTTTTTTTACCATTATGGCTGAGAGTGTTAACTGCCCATGAATTATGTGTTTGAGTTCGCAGAGAGAGCTGGATGAGGAGCTGATTTGATACTGCAGGTGCAGCTGGCAGTCCAAGGTCGGCACCAAGTCTGTCTGCGAGCTTAGAGCTTATAAGCATATAAAAGCAAATGTCGCACACCGCCAGTGGCAGATTCTCGTGAGCTCTATGCATGTATACTTTTTGTACATCTGTGTAACCTGGTGTGATAATCTGTCCTTGCAAGTAAAATCGGTTAAAAATATTCTCCTGTCATTGATTGTGGCTTCTTTGAGTAAGAAAGATGAATAAAGGATCCAACAATGTTTAGTCATGTCATCTGGACGTTTTTTCTTTTTTTGCTGAGGCGTTTCGTCCTTCATCCAAAGGACTTCTTCAATCTGAGGAACCACCAACCAAAACTGATTCCCACAAACAGTTATTGGTGGGACAAAAACTTTTTCACAGTTTTTAATTTTCCCACTATGGAGTATGCTATTTGTGGGAAACAGTTTTGGTTGGTGGCTCCTCAGATTGAAGAAGTCCTTTGGATGAAGGACAAAATGTCTCAGCACAAAAAAGAAGAAACTGTCCAGATGACCTGACTAAACATTGTTGGATTTTATACCTGGATTATTGATCATGAACTATGACGAACAGAGGATATTTTTATCCAACAATATCATCATACTTCCAACTTTCGATGGGTGTATAACAGTGTGATGGTGAAAATAAGCAAAAGAGAAAAGAGGAGAGAAATAATGAAAAAAGAAGTGGATCCAAAGTAGAGGAAGAGGAGCACCTTTGTCAGGTAGTTGATGATGAAGGTGAGCAGGAGAACCAAAGCACTGTGGAGCAGAATTTTCCCCAAACGAACCAGTAGGCTTCCTGTCTTCAGACCAGACTGCACCAACATACAGTAATATAAATATATACAGTACTAATCAAAACATTGGTATTGTGTTATGGCAGTTTTAACTTTGAAAAAGGGAGGAAAAACTGTTGAGGCTCATTTTAAACATCTTTTTAAGGTGGTGGGTTAAAACAAACTAAAACATCTTTTGGTAATTGTATTTGCTGTTCATTGACAAAAGATTGTTAGTAACATAAAACCATGCCTCTCAAAAGAACAGAGAAACCTGGAATTACAAGAAGACAGCAGCAACACGTGCACATGAGAAGTTTGGTATGGCTTCACCTTTTCTGAATTTCAAACTCAAACATTTATCCTGTTCATCATTTACTCAGTTTACAACAACTAAAATAGTTTAACAGCCAATGTGCTCTAACCCTTCAGATCAAATACTAACATGGAGTTTGTATTTAGTTAAAACACTGTTTAAGATAAAAACATCCTTTAGACTTAGTATTTATCCTTCAAACTTAACATGCCTGTTTTTGATGTGGAACTCTGGGCAGGTAGAGGTCTGCACCCATGACTGTTCTCTTCTTACAGCTCCCCTTCACAGAAGATGACAACCCTGCTACAATGTTTAAATTAATTAATTAATTTAATTAAAATAAAAGTAAATTAAACTAAAATATTCAGTCAGAAATCAAGGTATCAGAAGAACATTGGGCTTACCATTGTGATCAGTCAACAACAGTTTTAAGCATGCACAAAACTTCCATAATGAAGTCATGGTGGATTATCATTATCATGACAGAATATAGTGTCCTGGGAGGACTGTGGAGGCAGAATGTTTAGTAGGTGAGGCCTGCACACCCTGGCTTGGTTGTGAAGCACTTGAAACAGGAGTGTCCACGCTGGCTTCATGTTTAGGCTCATGAGTACCTCCACATTTACAAACAAGGTTGTTTTTGTTGAAAGCCAGCTACATTATAAAAACCATGTGGAGGGTTGTCAACCAGTGTGAAAGAGGCCTACAAGAACACTGGTTCTCCCAGTGATCACTGTGTTCCTCCTTATTTGTCTGGATAAAGTTTGTTGTCCAGGACTGAGGAGAATTTGGTTGGATCTATAATCGCTGAAGGTGCTTCTGATGGTGTTTTAGAAATAATAGTCGCACAAGTGTTTTAGTGTTATTTAAACATTACCAAATACATTAATAATCCATTTCCATTTGAATTCTGTCAAGTCTCACCCCATCAACTGAGGTAACACAAAGATAAGATGTGCACCTTTTTAATCACGCTCACTCACTTTAACCAGACACAGGTGGATTTATGTCAAGTAGCACAAAGGATAGTGACAGAGGAGGCACCAGGGTTTTGTTATGACTGACAGAATATTGCTTGAATAGACTGCTGAGTAAATTTGCTGACACCAGTCTCAGAGGAACTGGAAACTCTCTTCATAAATTGTGGAAAGGTCTGAGCTAACCAGCTTTGCACATTCAGCACAAAATATTGAAAACATACACCTGGTTAGATACATACATTCAAAGATAAACTAAATTGCAATCAAATCTAAATATGTAAAGGAACTAGACCTGAGAGTAACGCACACACACTTACGTGACAATGTCTGATGAAAAGAGCAGCTACGACAAAGCTCAGGGCCAGTGACCCCAGTATCATGGAGTTACAGAACTGGAGGAGCCACACACTGAGCAGGCCGCTCACCTGAACCAGGTACAAAGTTGTAACCTACAGAAACACACAAAAATCAAGATATCATGTGATGCTCTAATAGTTTTATGGTTCAGAAGCAGATGTAGGTCTGGACTCTGTCTGGGCAACTCTGAAATCTCTGTTTGCATCTTGTTGACCCAGATGAAACATATTGGTCAAACAAGAACACTTTGCAAATCCAAATCTGGTATGGTTATGACTAATATAGATGCAGGTGGTTCAAAGTTCTTTATTGTCATTTGCAGCACATGTGGTACATGAGGTGAAATTAAATTGTGTACTCAAGATCCCAGTTACACCCAAAAATAGCAAAAATATAAAGTGTAAAAAAAAACAGTATACAAGGATCTGATATATGATAAACAATATAATTTAATATAATACAGTATATTAAACAGCAGCCTCAGGATTTTAGACAAATACAAGACTACTGAATTTTGGAAACACTCCACAAAAGTTACCTTTAGTTTTTGTACTTTTTTTTTTTTTAAAGTTGAAGGGAAGTTAATATTGTGAAAGTTTGAAAATATTACATACAAAGCCCTGTCTGTTGTTCAAACTGTTGCAGTTTATTTTATGTTTACACATTTTGTGTATTTTCTCTCAGTTTTTGTACTTGACAAGATTTTTGTTCTTTTGATTCTGGGGGGGGGAGGTGGGTGGACATTTTGGTGAGCTCCACCCATCTATGGATTGACCACAAAGGCTTGAAAAGTGGCTTAATCATGTCTCTAATAACTCATATACATTTGTTTCAGATTGTTCCTCATTATATTTCTTTGTTCACTATCGACTCTGACGAACAAGACAATGTCAAAATCTTTGTTTTTGTTTGGGCTCTTCAAACTGAAAATATATTTAATGAGCAGTTCTCTTATTTTCTGGAAGTTTGTTGACCTACAGCTATGAATGAATCTGAATCTATGTTTAGATACATAGAAACATCCATGAACCTGAATCACCTATTTAATGCTGACATAAGCACAGATATCCCTATGTTCATTTTGGCTGTAATAATAGTATATGGTATACAGTACTGATTATCTAAAGGCGACAGCTGGTAGAGTTGTTGCCACTCAGCGAGAAGGTCGCTGAATCGAATCCTCGTCGGGGGGCCATTCTAGGTGGAGTTTGCATGTTCTCTCATGCATGTGTGGGTTTCCTCCCACAGACCAAAAACATGTATGTTAGGCTGATTGGTAACTCTAAATTGTCTTTAGGTGTGAGTGAGAGAGTGAATGGTTGTTTGTCACGTTTGTCTCGATGTGTCCCTGTGATGGACTGGAGACCTGTCCAGGGTGTCCCCCTGCCTCTCGCACAGTGACTGGTGGATATGGGCACCAGTGACCCCGTGATTCAGAGAGGAGGAAGCGGGTAAAAGATAATTGATGGATGGATGATCTAAAGGTCCATACAGACTCTGTGTGCACACACAACTCAAAATACATTTCCAGTGTTGATGGTTTTGGCATGAGGCCTCAACCGTTACAATTAAGTTTAAAGGAAGGGGAGAGATAAGCACTTTATTAATGTGACAAAGGATAAACATACACAGATGTTTTAGTAAAAGCCTGATCATCAACAGCTTTGGCAGATAACCTTCTGGGAAAATACTGACGACTCTTTACTGCAATACGTAGAAAAGGTCTGTTCTAATTCATTTACTCTCACACAGATTGTTTATATTTGCCAGAGTGCGTACTTTAGAAAAGGTACAAGTACTTTGTCTACCACTGCTTGCTGTCAGTTTATCTTAGTGACCTCAAGCTGTTCTGCAACAACACAACAATTTTAAATAACTTACAAGGCTGTAAAACTGACAAAGTACATTATTCACTAAGCTTTTTGCCAGTAAAGATATAAACTTTTTTTTATTATTATTTGCAAATATCTTCAAATCCAGCATTGTTTGCTGACTGTAAAACATACCTGTGTGGTTGTTAAGAGATCAACACAATCCAGGGTGTAAATGATGAGAGCCTGAACGAGGAGAATGAACTGGTTGAACTGCCAGGTCAGACAGAAGCAGAGCGTCGTCGCGTACATCAGCCACACCATCACCTTCTGGGAGGAAAAACACACAAATGCACACAGAGGTTAGAGCTATAACCTGGATTCTGATGAACGACTGCAGTTTTGTTCCTGTGCTGCCTGTGCTTTCTGAGATGAAAAATTATTAAGCGTATCAGCTAGGTGGCTAATTTCTAAAGGATGGTCAGTCATCTTGATGTGCTGTGGGTTTGTGTGTGAACTGTACCTGCTGTAAGGCGCTGAGCTGAGGCCGGAGGTAACAAGTGATGGCAGCGACCTGCAGTGCAAAGAAGGGCAAGGACCAGTTCTCTCTCAGGGAGATGGTGAACTCCACACGAGTGGTGTCCACCCTGAAAAAACAAAGACATGTGCAAATAGTTTCTCAATGCCCGACTCAAAATGAGTATGGATGTTAAATAAAATATAAAAATTGTTGTTTTTTATTTGTTTTAGGGCAAAACAAGTTGAGAAACCTGTTGAAACAATACAAGTATTTTTTTTCCAGTGACTGCCATTTTTATTGCTGAAAGAACACAAATACAGTTTTTAACAAGACATCTGAAATGTCAATACCTATTTAGAAATTGAGTTCAATTTTAAAAAAAATTGCAAGTACTTTAAATAGAAAATGGTTCACACTTTAAAAACCACTGTCAACAGATGCAGAAGGTGGCGCTCTACCATAAACTTGACTTAAAGCATTCCTCTTTTTTTTTAAAGAAGTTAAAAGTGTTGATTTGTTCATAGATGTTTTACTCTGCATCAAGGACAAACCTGTCAACTCACCTGCTAGTTTATCTCCAAAGTGAAGTGGAGAAATCTCCACAGAAACAACCCAACAAAAACAGCCAATTCAGACTGGGTACAGTCTGACTGGCATGACTTAGTGAAAATAGCTCAACACGTATAGAAAAACTTATGTAATGATTAAAAAAGTATAATACAAATTGTATTTTTTGTCATTTGTCATGTGAATGAATAAAAAAGTGCATCACTTCAAATTTATTGGGAACAAAGTCACAGTCCTGTTCACCTCTCATCGCTCACCTGTTAAGAATGTACCAGACTCCCGTTAGCACACCAGCCAGCCAGGATCCAGCCAGGAGCCACGCAGTGAGGTACAGACCAATCACATACACAGCTTGGAGTGAAAACACCGTGTAAATGTAGAAATACACTGGCTCCAGATACGACTGGACCACACACACACACACAGAGGGAGAGAAAGAACAGTAACTTGGATGGTTATAAATAGTATCAGCAAAGCAAAAATAACTTTATAAATAATCACTCCATAAAAAAAGCTTAATTCAATGGACCAAATGAAAATCCATTTTAATATTTCTAACTTGCCCCGAGACAAGCTTCCAAAGTTTTCCATCACTTTTAGCCACTTGCATCATCTAAATACAAAACTTTACTGTAAATTTACAAAGAAATTCATGCTTGAATAGTAATAAGGGCTTTGATATATCTATGATACAAAAACCATAAAAAACAAGAGACTGTACATAAATAGATAGCAAGAAAAAAAAAAAACATTTTACCAAAGCTTATGGATTTTATTCACCAATATTTTTTTTTTGAAGAGATGCTGTGTAGATGTTTTAGAATAAACTAAAATGTAATGTTTGTTTTAAAGTGTGGCCATGACAATTTCAAAGAGCACAACATATACAGGAAGTGTTTGGTGATTTTGTAGCATCATTTTTAACTTGGATATTTTATCAAGATCTTTATATTGTGTTTAATAATCACACATTACAGCTTTGCACCACAGATATCATGAGCTGGGAGTTTCCATCTGCATAAATACAAATAAAAGAAAAGAAAAATTTGCATCTTTGAGGAATTTATTTTTTAAATTGTCAGATTTATTTTTACGTAATAGAAAAAAAGAGTTTGCAAATGAATGTTTTTCAATATTCATCTTTTATTTTATCAACAGTCAGGACAAAAAATACTAAAAACCAATTCTATATATTTCTGGACTGCATAAGAATGGATGTCCTGGATAATATTCTGTTTTGTGTTTAAAATCTGTGTAAGCTGTTGGTGTGTGTGGTGTTACCTGTACGGGCAATAATCTGTAGAGAACACTGAGAAACACCTCTTGGTAAATATTCATCCGCTGTAAGAGATTAATGGTCCTCTTAGACTCTGTCAAGTTGTCATGGATCAGTTCTGATAATCCTGGGAAAACACACACACACACACACACACACACACACACACACACACACACACA